GTAATTAAAATGAGAAATTTGAAATTTAAAATTTAAAATAAATAATCAGTAGTTTGATAAGTGATATCAAATTAATTAGAAGACTTAATAAGGTGACAAATGACAAAAAAAATGAATTTCTTCTTTTATTAGAATAGAGATTAACACAAATAATAAGTTACGGATCGCTTTGATATGGGCGAGGTGACACTACTACGGGCTATAAAACAGTAGGGGAAAAAGTATTAGAGTGGCATGGTAATGGTTGTGTCACTATTAACAACAATACAATATAGGCGACTAGTGAGTATTAACGACTTAACGTTAGAAACAACATACTGCAACTAAAGGCAATAACATCAACTTGTGATAGTATTCACGGCGCTGCTATTACCCTTAAATGTTGTTATGATATACCGAATTAGGTTATGACCCGAATTAGTGTTATTGGTAACATTGAAAAGAATAACGATATACCGAATTAGGTTAAGACCTCTTTGTAAACAATGTTTTTTTGTTTTATTAGTTGAACGACCTTTATTGTTACATATAAGTACTTTCAAGTCTATATCTTTTTAATTTATACTATTCTTAGGTTCATGAACCAATGTCAGTTGTCTTTTTTCTTTTTGTTGATGTATCAATGAATACAATAGAAATTGGTGCTACAGTTAGAGCTTGTAGTACTATCAGTTGATTTGTTAATGATCTTCTAGTAAGTTCATGTTTTTTTTTTCTAAAAAATTACAACGTTTTATATTTTCTTCGAGTTAATGTTTTATTATTGATCTGTAATAATAATAATAATAATAATAATAATAATAATAATAATAATAATAATAATAATAATATGATTGGTATAGGAGGTCCTCAAACACTTATGAGAATTACATTTGACTCATTGCAAAAGGTTATTATTATTATTATTATTATTATTATTATTATTATTATTCTTTTAAATTCACCATTCAAAAAGAATTATTGCTTCAAGCTCTTTTGCATTTTTTATTACAGCCATTGATTTTCTTAGTTCCACACATAGATGATGTTTACACTCTTCACCCCTCTGGTGTTATTGTTCAACTTTCTAAATGATGAAGTTACCAAAGACTGGTGTTGATGATCATTAGATATTAGCAAACAACATAAATAATTTTTCAAGAATCCTGTAGGTAAATCTGTTTCTAACTCAAGTTACGACAATACCCTTGTGTTTGTTAGTCGTGTGCTTATCATAACATTTAGTAAGGGTATTAGTATTAATTTATACATATCTCCAAATATAAGTCAATTTTAATCAGGGGGCAAAATTAATGCTCCTTTTTCATGAGTTGGCAAAAAACTTTAGCTTGGAGAACACAAATGCGACCTATATGAAAACTATCAAATGTCCTCTAGAATCTGAAATGTCATAAGTTGTCTTTTTAGTTGAATTAACTATCATTTTTCATTTTCATTTAAGTTCTTTTTGGGTTTAAACAAAAGGAAAAACAACATAATTTCACTGTATGAAAAAAATTTGGAGTATAAGGCTACAATTAGTATAAAACCCAACAATGATAGTTCATAACATTGACCTAACTCATCTAATTTTGTATCATACACTAAAATAACAAATAAAATAATAAAAAAGGATCTGCAATGAAAACATTGTTTTGTATCGTAATAAGTTGGCATAAAACTCAACAGTTCTTGAATATAGGAAGAGTCAAAAATGAAATTAGAAACTATAATAAACAACGAGTTTTTTTAGATGTGCAGTCCGTATTCAAATCCAACCGTCCGAGTATACCTAAATGTATAATTTTCTTATGAGAGAGCATGACAAAATCACTGGTGAGAAATTCCTTTGGTGTCAAGTTAAAAAACTTTTTGAATATCGAATACCTATGAGGTGACTTCAGATTGAGCTGTCAAAAAGTTAGAATTATCCATATAGATGTGCAGTCCGTAATTAATATATTGCAAAAGTTAAAATATTTTTACAAAAAAAATGAAATTAAAAAGCCCTAAAAAAAGTGTAAAAGGGTCATTTACCAAACTTTAGATGACTGCAAAAAAAAAAAAAAAAAAGAAGTCTTTGTTCATACTTACTTCGATTTACCTATAAATAAATAAATAAACTAAACCTGAGATCCTTTTTGACAACATATGCATCCGATCCAACTAAATTAGAACTTGAAAATAAAATGTATCGGTTAATGCAAGTGAAGGATATGGAATGGATTTTCTAGCATCTATTTTGGGTAACATCCACTTTCATATCCATTTTACACATACTTCTATTCTCATCATATGCAATTCTTGCCTATATTAAAAAATACAAAGTTATACAACAATATAAACCAGATAAGAATTGTACTTTTAAAAAGCATGCATATTATGGAATAAGGTTAGAACATGTTTGGTCTTTAAATGTAAGAATCTTAAGAATGAGCTAACTATAAAGACCAAGTATAGTGTCTCACGGTTTGTTTTTTATTCCAGTGAACAGGATTATATCCCATTACCTACATGTTATATTATCTAAGAAAGTAAGAAATAAGGCTAAATGAAACTTGATGTCAAAACGCCATTCTTTCGTAGGTTATACTGAAAATTTTATAAATTTTATAAATTCTAGGAAGTGGATATATTCTATTTTGATGATCAACCTTCAATACATAAAAATCCCAAATCTTCCTGATGATAAACTTTGATAGTAAACAATCATTACAATTTTTTTGTCTCAATAGCTTAAGGATCCCATAACGACATAATGATATAAATATAAACTAAAGAACTACATACAATACATATCTAATAACCTCAGATGCTCCAGAGCTTCAAATATTCTTCTCACGCTTCTTCTCTTAACTTTTACATATTGACGGCATGTCTCCAATGGGTTAAAGCGCTTCAAGACTTCTGAAATTGTTTATAATCTGCAATGATAACATAATACTTTTAATCTTAATCCAAATATAAATTCTATTCGAGTAGCTAAAAAACTACATTATGGTGTCCCTGCTTTCCAGTATTAGAAAAATAAATAAAAAAATTTCATACGGTTTTTCCAACTTTTTCATAAATTGCATGAAAAGATAATCTATCAATATTTTTCTAGTCAATGATTTAATTTCCCTCATCATAACAAAATCATGGTATATTAATGTTCATGATTCATGATTCATGATTCATTCGAGCCAATTGCAAGGTTTTAGGATGAAGATCAACATGAAAGAAACTGGTTGGTATCTAAATAAAATATGAAAAAATATATTAAAATTTTAGTAGAAAATAAAAGCATTTTTTATTTTTTATAATGAGCGTGTTCATTGTGTTGGGCATCTTATTTTGGGAGTTTTTCTAAGTTTTGTTCTCCAATATACTCTTTTTTTTTTCTAAAGGAAAATTTTCATTTTATTTTAGAGGTAAATTTATATATTATCTTTTGATGACAATATCTCTTTCTATTCTATCGTTTTCTAAAACTAAAAGCAAATACAAAAAAGAGATATATTTAATCATCATATTACTTGTTTCATCATTAACTAAAAAAATCTAGCAAGAAACATATTTGAAGATTGAATTTCTACTTGATGCAAATAGACTCCTCCTTTTTATTCCCTTTTTTGTTTATCTTCATCTGACGATACCATCAAAAAAAGGTATTTTCAAGATGGTGTTAGATGTCCTTGAGGTGCTGAGTAAATATCACTTGACATCAAGAATACATATCATAATTGTGTTCAACAAAAACCCAAAATCAACATCAAGATATCCCTGAAGAAAAAAGTAAACACACAAAAGCTAAATAAAAAAAATAAAAAAATGGTGAAAAAACTTGAAGGAAAGAAAGAAAACAGAAATAAAAATCGTATAAAATGCAAAGCAAGAAGTTGGAGTGGTGTAGAAAACAAACATATGAACAAATCAAAAAGATGAACGCATTAACTATGTGTATCTCATCTTTCTGGTTTCTGCAACAGATAGAAAGAGGGGGGGCGGAGAAGGAGTGGCAATTCGCTTAATTCCTAAAAGCAAGTGTAGAAATTAGGTTTTTTTTTCATCAAAATTGATAACTAAACACCAGAAATCGAAACATAACAAATCCTTGATAAGTCGTTGTGCGAAGAAACAAATAATTGACCAGAAGAATGAGAGCCCTAAAGTGAAACGCAAGAAATATGAATAAAGAGGAGACGAAATAAATGAGTGCTTGCGGTTGTGATCATAAGATGAAAATGATTCGAGGTTACATAATGAGGAATCAAAGAAATAAGATTATGGATTGTTTGCGCATAGAGACATGGGAAGAGAATTTTTATCTACATTTGACGTCGTAGAAAGGAGAATCGATTGAATCGTTGTGAAACAAGACGTGCGCATCATTGAAATTAGTGGAAGAATCTTTATATATATATATATATATATATATATATATATATATATATATATATATATATATATATATCTTTTCCAACACCATTGATCTTCATATCTTATTCCTTGTAATAAATTGAAAAGAAAATAATGTTTGTGATTGTGATTTTCAAAGCAGAACAAAAGAAACGGGAAATGAGGGGTGGGGCGGTGTATTATTTTATTTTATTTTTGTAAGATTTAGTTGTTATTCATAGATTTCCTAATTTTAAAAGTAATTGTATTTTTGGTGAGATTTAATTGTCATTAATAAATTTTCTATGTTAAATGTAATTATCATTAATAGATTTCATAAAATTGGCGCACAAAAAAAAAAGATTAACCAAATGATGATATCAGCATAATGATCTAAAGCTGAAAAAAATAAAAATAAAAGACAATCAATGACTATGATTTTTGAAGATGATTTTACAAAATTTTTCTTTTAATAATATTTAAAGATAAGATGCGAGAAAAATAATATTATAACACAGAGTATAATAACATAATGTTACAATGATATGAATTTTCAAGCAACATATGCACGCTCTTTAGTGGTTTTAGAATTAGAAATAACTAAAACGATAAATCAATTAAGTAAACTCTCTAAGATGTTTTTATAGTTTTGCAATGGTAATTTCAAGACCATCTTCTGGTTTTGGAATTGGGAGATAGTTAACTTTCGCTTCTGGATTCACTAGTTCCCATCTGAAATCCATTTAAAAGGTCAACTGTAAATATCAATAGGAAATTTTGATCTTTTTAGTCAAAATATGTGTCTACTAATTGACGCATGAAATGCCATAAATTCAAATGACTATAACTTTACTTGTATCCGGTGGACATATGATGAAGAAACAAGCCAACTTGTAAACGAGCAAGCATATTTCCTGCACAGATTCTTGGGCCGCCGCCAAAGGCTTGGAAGTTTTCTGGCAGAATTGATCCCTGAAAACATATACGTATACAGATTTAGTTTTGAGAAAAAAAAAAAAAAGAAGAAACATCATAAAGCAAACATATTAAGCTTGGCATCTGACTTACATCCCATCTATCAGGGTTGAAACACAATGGATCGTTGTAGTTCTTAGGGTCTACGTGGACATTCCTAAGCCATACAACCATATTCCATCCTTTTGGTATGGTGTATCCTGCATTATAATATAAAATTTAGCAATACAAACATAAAACAAAAGCATAAATAAAATATAGACATTAGTTTAATGTTTAATGGGAAGTTTGAATGGGGAGTTGAGCCATATTAAAATCAAAATCTTCGTTAGGGGTTAATGCATGACACTCAATAGAATATTAGAATATGCTCATTCAACTCTACACACTCTCTCTCTTTATATATATATATATATATATATATATATATATATATATATATATATATATATATATATATATATATATATATATAAAAGAGAAAAGTGAATATACCTTAAGGGTATATTAAGCTTAGGTACCCAAACTCATCATAATAAAAGAGAATATATATATATATATATATATATATATATATATATATATATATATATATATATATATATATATATAAGAGAAAAGTGAATATACCTTAAGGGTATATTAAGCTTAGGTATCCAAACTCATCATACTACGTCGTTTTGTATCATATATATATATATATATATATATATATATATATATATATATATATATATATATATATATATATACATTGTAATTATACAATGTTCTTATAATTCAATTTCTAACTTGATTTACCTTTCTAAGATTTTTATGAATTTCACATTTATTTTCTCTTACATAAATTTTATTTTCAACTATAATATAGATAACTCAGTAGGTGTTCGGCAAAAAGATGTGATGTAAGAGGAAGATAATAATGAAATTTCAAAAATTTTGAAAGTAAATCAAGTCAGGGGTTGAATTTTAAGAACATTATAATGAATATTTCAAACAAATCGACGTATTATAGTGAGTTTGGGTACCTAAGCTTATATACCCTTAAGGGTATATTCACTTTTCCATATATATATATATATATATATATATATATAAACGATGTGGAAATCAATTAAAATATAAAGTTCAATGGAATATAAAGTTTAATAAGTAAAATCAAATATTTGTGAAATGTGTAAACGATGTGGAATCCATTGAATTCATATGAACTTAATGCATTGAAGATGGTTTACTTACCTTTATATTCTATATCTTCTGTTGTTGTACGAAATATAAAAGTAGAGACATTAGCCAATCTGATGCTTTCATCAACAACCTGAACCAATGATTTTTAAATCGAACATCAAAATTTATTCAAAGGAGATGTTTTAGCAAACAAAGATGATTAATTATACCTTCATGGTGTATTCTAACTTCAAAATCTCATCGCTGGTTACAAGCTGTTCATTCTTACACTTTTTGAGAACCATGTTTTCGTCCTATATATCATGATGATAAGCGTTAACATAAAGTCAAAACTCCAAAAATAGAAGAGACAGACATAACCTTACCCGAAGCCTTTCTAAAACCTCTGGCCATTTTGCAAGATAATAAATAGCCCACATTGTGACGATGACAGTTGATTCATAGCCAGCAAGAAGAATGCCAGTAATATTATCAAGAACCTCAGTGTCACTCAAATTATTCCCTTCTTCATCCTTTAAATTCATTAAACCATCCAGTAGATCATTCATAGCATCATTACTTCCATCGTTCTTCCTTCTCCTTTTATCCAGCTCTTCCCTGAAAATCGCTTGGGCTTTTCTACGACACTGTCACAGAAAATTGCAAACATCCATCTTTACACTTATAAATGGAGCATACATTATCTACACCACCTCTAATAACGACATATAAACTGGAGAAACATTAAGTTCAACGTCATAAATACCTGAAGCGCACGATAAAATGTGAATCCTGGTATATTCAACGGGTAAGCTCTGAATCCAGTAAGCATCCCGGAAAGGTGTTCTTTAAGCTGGTGGAGCGTAGGGCCATGCTCGAAACTAGCAAAATACTTGCAAATATTCTCAAAACTAACCTTCTTTATTTCATCATAGGAGGTAATTTTATCACGTTTGACCCACGATTGGAGGGCTGAGATCATGCGTGGTTGCACAGCAATGGCGATTCGACGAAGAGCATCTGGTTGGTTAATGCTACGAATAACAAAACTTCTAATCCTAAGATGTGCTTTTCCATGAACAGCAACCAGTGACATCTTTCCTACAAGATCGGGATTTGCCCATTTCAAGATGAAGCTTTCGGTAGTTCGAAGTACATATTTATTGGTCTCTGGTAAAAATGTAATCACTGATGGTCTACCAAATAGGTATGTCTTGTACATCCCTATCCCATCGCCATACCTGTTCGATTAATCAAAATGTGAAAATGACCAATCCTTTAGTATAGTAAACAAATATAAAGCGGCATTTATTAGTAAACAAAGAATATATTGAAGTAAAACACAATTACTTTTGACGCTTTGAATTGATGTAGTCATCGGGGCGACGTAGGAATCTGAAGTACCATAAAAATGTGAGCGTTTCACCTAAGAACGGAAGACCCATGTGTCCTGGAGGCAGCTTGTTGCTTCCTTTGGATGGCCGGAGGGTTGTCATAACTAGTCCATACCATATGTCGTTCCACCACCACAATAAACACCCTACTAGTGGCACCACTCCTATCACCGCCGTCAACCATATGCCCACTGTCATCGTGACTCTCTAGGTTTTGTTTTCTTGGCGGTGGTTAAGAAACTGTTTTATGCAACTGTATGTGTTTAATAGCTTGCTGGAAAAGATACCATTACAGACAAAACACAGTAGAACAACACTCGTCGACAAGTTTCTAAATTAAGTTATTAGTTCAAGTTGGGAGTGTTAATTGGATGATAGTACAGGAAACATATATGCATGGTTAGTTAATGTCGTAAACGAGATCTCAAAATTTAATAAATCGTTAATTAATGACTTTTTATCTTCTCCATATTATTTTGCAAAGTACCTCCATGTATTGACTATTTTATTATGATTTTCAGTTAATTAGATTAATCAAATCCCACATGGTGATTATTGTATTCACTGATTAATTTCAGAAAAAAATTTGAAAAAATGCCAAAATTTTTGTTAACTTTACGGTTTACTTCTGAATTATTATTTTTTTTCACGAAAAATGATAACATATCGGCTAATATAATCATTAATTATAACTCTTTTAAACGAAATAGTAATTGACACATCTCACTTGCCTCTATCTGATGAAGTAGCAACTAGTGCATGCCATGTAGCTTCTTTTGTTTTATTTAAAAAATAAAAGCAGAATATAAATGGGGAAAGTTGCAATTAAAATCTCAAGTTTGATAAGTCATGCCATTAACGGTTAAAGATCATCACTAGCCCAATAAAAACAAATATTATCTAGAAGAGTTTAGCTTGTTCTGGAATGTTCTAGAAGATTCTAGAACATTATGGAAGACTATGGAAGACTCTGAAATATACCGGAAGAGTCTAGAATACTCTAGAACGACATGAAAGACCCTGGAAGGTTATGGATCATTCTAGAAGACACTGGAGCAACCTAGATCTCTCCAGAACATGATAGAACGTTCTAGAAACATATGTAAGCATGTAGAGTATGTTAGATAGTTCTAGAGCTATCTAGTATGTAGTAAGTGTATGCTAGTATCTAGAACCTTCCTACGAGGCCTATAAATAGGTATGGAGCTCATTTGCTCCAAACCATCAAAGAAAGCAAAGTGTGTAGTAGTCTCACAAAGTGTAAGTTCTCCTTAAGTGTCTGAATAAAAGTCTTGTTGTTTCCCATATAAAGAGTCGTGTTCAACAATCTGGTATCAGAGCAAGGTTTCTTGATAGTGAGAACGAGTGATTCTCGTTGTATCGTGAGTAGTTTGTAACTCTGCAAGTTTAGTGTCGAAACTAACTTGTTTGGTGGAGGCGAAACTACACCACCAGAGGAAGACGTTAATGGTGCTTTGCGCAAATGGAAAATCAAAGCAGGCAAAGCAATGTTTGCCTTGAAGACCACAATCGAAGAAGAGATGTTGGAGCATATTCGGGATGAGAGCACCCCGAAAGAAGCTTGGGACACGTTTGTGATGCTTTTCTCAAAGAAGAATGCTACGAGACTACAGCTTTTGGAGAACGAGCTATTATCAATCTCACAACGTGACATGACGATTGCTCAATATTTCCACAAGGCCAAATCGATATGTCGGGAGATTACTGAACTGATCCGCAATTCGTCATTGCAGAAACTCGAATGAAGAGGATCATTATCCATGAACTGAGGTCGGAATATAGAAGCTTTGTTACTGTTGTACGAGGATGGCCCGTTCAGCCATCACTTGTAGAGTTTGAGAATTTGTTGGCCAGCCAAGAAACTATGGCTAAGCAAATGGGAGGCATCACGCTGAAGAGTGAAGAAGAAGCACTCTACACAAGTAAAAGTCGGAGGAATTTCAAGCCACCTTCTAAAAAAGGATACAAAAATGCTGACAAAGGGAAGAGTCAATCAGGAACCTCACAACCATGGAGATCTCAAAAGACCGGCAATAAGAGTTCTCGGGGGAGGAGGTTCGAAGGCAACTGCAACAACTGTGGAAAGTGGGGCTACATGTCCAAGGATTGTTGGTCAAAGAAAAAGTATGTGGAAAGTAATGTCTTAACTTCCAAAAAGGAAATAGAGGATGAATGGGATGCTGAGGCATTATGTACCATAGAAGAAAACCAGTTGGCACTCATGAAAATGATGGGAGAGCGTATCAACTATGAAAATAACTGGATCATTGATTCAGGATGCTCCAATCACATGACTGGCGATCAGAACAAACTACAAGACGTGAAGGAGTACAAAGGGAGTCGCATGGTACTTACAACCAACAATGCACGACTTCCAATTGCTCAGATTGGAAAAACGACGATTATGCCTGGTAATAAATCTGACATGGTGTCACTACATAATATGTATCACGTGCCAGGTATGAAGAAGAACTTGTTGTCGGTATCGCAACTAACATCGTCAGGCAACTACGTCTTGTTTGACCCACAAGATGTGAAGGTCTATCGAGATCTTAAAATATCATAAAAGCCAACAATGGAAGGACGAAGAGTGGAGTCTGTCTATGTGCTCTCCGCAGAGTCTTCCTATGTAGATAAGACTCGTAAGAATGAGACAACAGATTTATGGCATGCACGGCTGGGACATGTTGGTTATCATAAGTTGAAGGTAATAATGGAGAAATCTATGCTCAATGGCTTACCTTAACTTGAAGTTAAAACAGATGTTGTTTGTGCTGGATGTCAGTATGGTAAAGCTCATCAATTACCATACAAGGAGTCAAATTTTAGAGCAAAGAAGCCACTAGAGTTAATTCACTCAGATGTGTTCGGTCCAGTAAAGCAGACATCAGTTAGCGGGATGCGGTACATGGTGACGTTCATTGATGATTATTCGATATATGTATGGGTTTTCTTCATGATAGAAAAATCTGAAACATTCTCAAAGTTTCTAGAATTCAAGACAACGGTCGAAGGAGAAGTGAGAAAGAAGATCCGGTGTCTACGCTCAGACAATGGAGGAGAATACACCTCGGAAGAATTCAATCGCTATCTGAAAGAATGTGGCATACGTCATCAATTCACATATGCCAACACACCTCAACAAAATGGTGTAGCTGAGAGAAAGAATCGACATCTTACCGAAATTTTTCGAAGCATGCTACACGCGAAGAGTATCACAGGAAGATTTTAGGCTGAAGCAATGCGAACTGCTGCCCATGTGATCGATAAACTTCCCCAACCAAGGTTAGGTTTCATCTCACCATTTGAGACACTATGGAACATTACACCTACTGTTAGCTACTTCCGAGTATTTGGTTGCATCTGCTACGTATTTGTACCTAGTCATTTACGTAGCAAGTTTGACAAGAAAGCAGTCATGTGTATATTTGTTGGATATGACTATCAAAGAAAAGGATGGAGGTGTTGTGATCCAATAAGCGGAAGATGCTACACTTCAAGAGATGTAGTGTTCGATGAAGCATCTTCATGGTGGTCATCAGAGAAGAAAGTATTATCAGACTCGGAAAATATTGAAGAAGTTTTAAAACAAAAGATGGGGGAGCAAACTGCACACATTTGGTCAAGTGTTGATACACCTGAAGATCCGAGTGACACGGATGTCATTGAGCAAGGAGTAACTCAAATAAGTTATGCCGGTGAAAGGGAGACGCCGCATCCATAACTTCGAAGGACGGAAAGAATCCGAAAGCCTAATCCCAAGTATGCTAATGCGGCAATTTTAGAAGACGGTGTTAAAGAGCCGGAGACATATGAAGAAGCAATTAAGAATAAAGCTTGGCAGAAGGCAATGGAAGAAGAAGTTACAGCCTTAAAGCAGAATCAAACGTGGGAACTGGTACTAAAACCAAGAGATATAAAACCCATTTCCTGCAAGTGGGTTTATAAATTAAATTGATGCACAGATGGATCAATTGAAAGATACAAGGCTCGTTCGGTGGCTCAAGGGTTATCACAACAATATGGACTGGACTATGATGAAACATTTAGTCCAGTGGCGAAGATAACTACTGTACGGGTGCTGCTAGCTCTTGCAGCTAGTAAAGACTGGAAATTATGGCAGATGGATGTGAAGAATGCTTTCTTGCATGGAGAATTAGACCGAGAGATCTACATGAACCAACCAAAGGGATTTGAGGATGAAGTTAATCCCAATCATGTGTGCAAGCTGAGAAAAGCTCTTTACGGATTGAAGCAGGCACCAAGAGCCTGGTATGGTAAGATTGCTGAATTTCTTACCCGAAGTGGTTATTCAATTGCACATGCAGACTCAACCCTGTTCGTCAAAGAAAAAGAAGGGAAGTTGGCAATTGTGTTGGTTTATGTGGATGATTTTATCATTACCGGGTATGACGATAAAGAAATCCATCAAACAAGAGAAAATTTATTGGTGCGATTCCAAATGAAAGAGCTGGGGGAGCTTAAACACTTCTTGGGGTTAGAAGTTGATCGTACAAAGGAAGGGTTGTTCCTCTGCCAACAAAAGTATACAAGAGATATACATCAAAAGTTTGGCATGTTGGAGTGTAAGCCAGTATCAACACCAATAGAGCCAAATGCCAAGATATGTGCTCATGAAGGAAAGGAGTTGGACGACGGAACGATTTATCGACAACTAGTAGGTAGTCTTATCTACCTAACTTTATCTCGGCCTAACATTGGTTATGCAGTTGGAGTTATGAGTCGATACATGCAAAGTCCGAAGAAACCTCATTTGGAAGCTGCCCGATGAATCCTGAGATATGTCAAAGGTACAATTGACTATGGTCTCTTGTATAAAAGAGGAGAAGACTGCAAGTTGGTTGGATATTGTGATGCTGACTATGCAGGAGACCATGATACCCGAAGATCAATCACTGGGTATGTGTTCAAGCTTGAGTCTGGGCCAATATCATGGTGTAGTAAAAGAAAACCATCTGTATCGTTGTCAACCACAGAAGCGGAGTACAAAACAGCGGCCGTAGCAGCTCAAGAAAGTACATGGTTGGTACTCCTAATGGAGGACTTACATCAAAAAGTTGACTACGTAGTACCACTTCACTGCGATAACCAATCTGCAATTCGGCTGGCAGAAAATCCAGTATTTCATGCTAGAACAAAGCATGTGGAAGTGAATT